CCCCAAAACCCCAAAACCCCAAAACCCCAATTGTGAACAAGAGTATTGTTTTGTATATAAATTTAGGATAATTTGTAAATATGAGCAACTGGAAAGGAAATTTGGTGCAGGTAAGCGGTTATGAGTAAGAACAAGGGGGTAGGTGAGGGGTTTGGGGGAATGGAGAATTGGGGATTGAGGATAGGGGTGGAGGGGAATTTTGGGGGAATTTAGGAGTAGGTATGAGGTTTATGTCCTGTTGGGTGTTTGGGGTATATTGTTGTGGGTTATTTCGAGGGGAAGAGGGTCTATAAGAGGAGATATAATTGGATTTTTCTGTTTGGAGGTTAATTTTGGGTTTGGAAAGAACAAAATATTTGTTAGACAAGTCTCTTATTTTTATTTCAACGTATTATAATCAAATTTCCTTGATGTAATCACTCATATCAGTGAACATCTCAATGTGCTGATTCAGGAAAAGGGACACCGATGTTCTCTCGCAGAGGAAAATCTACCATCCCTCAGTATCCTAGCTTTGCTGTCAAAGGCAAGGCTAAATTGGCTAATGGTAAGTTGAAAAAACAAAAAGATTCTGAAGAGCCAGATTTTGATGATTATGGAACTAATGAGGAGAAGCTGAATCAGGTTGAAGAAACTCTTAAAGATGTTATTGAAGAAAAAGAGAAAAGAAGGCAGAAAGAGTTAGGTAAGGGTTTCTTTTCTTCATCTCACCTATTCAATTTTTTATCAAGGAATTACTATTAGATGCTAAAAATCAGTTAACAGTCAAAGAAAAAAGAAGGTTGAAGAAGGAGAAATAGGATGAAGACTGCTAAGAGAAGGTTCAAAAGGTCCAAACAGGCAAATCCAGCTCCCAACCAGTACTTCAAGGACATTTTTGTGAAGGGAGTAATAAAATTTTATTTAAAATATTTACAGAAGGCTGAGAAATCCTCTCGTTTTGAGAAAGCTCCAAGGAGAATAACCGACCCCAGCAAGCATCATTCCTTCTTTGTCATGGATAAAAGAAAATCGAGACTATACAAGGTACTTAAAGAGCAAAAATGAAGGAAATGACCAAGAGAGGCTAGACACCAGTACAGGAAGAGCTTAACAAATGCGGTTAGAAGTAAAGAGAAATATCCAGAAAACTCCATTTTGAATAAAAGTAATGCCTATAGCCCTCAAAAGGTGAAATAGTAAGTGAACAAATAGTCATGGCTAACTTGGTATAGTAAAACTCCTAGTAAGATCAACTTGTCGACTTCTAAGAGCAACAACACTTTGGCTACATTCGGAGATCTGTATAATATCAGACAAAGGAAGAACTATGAGAACTTTTATTATGAATCAAGAAAAACTGCAAATGAAAGCCCCTCCATTTCTGAAGAGGTCAGATCGATTACTTCTGGGCTAAAAGTCCAGAAAAAGAGATCTCAAGCTCATAGTAAAATGAGGAATTTACAGTTAATGGATTATGGTATTCTTAGTAAAATGATCAACTAGGTCAAGACTTTACTACTGGAAAGGACACAGACCCTAAATCCCTCAGTCCTCTGTCTAAGTTCAGAGGGAGTCCCCAAAGGGCAGGAATCAGACCTAAGACTGCTTTTATTAGATATCAAAAGGTAAAAATGTGCTTAACAGTACAGACTGAGAAATCTGAAAGCAAGTTATCAAAATTTTCGATGGTAAAGCAGCTCTCAAGGGAAGAAGCCAATAAAATTATTCCAAAAGAATCTACTCCACATGAAGCCAGGTTTGATATGAAAGATATTAAGAAAGAACTCAGCTATAAGTATAAATAAAAGTGATACGGTGTACGTTGATTATGATAAGAGTCCCAAGAAGGATGACAACGGGAAATTCTTAAGAAGAGATGTTGAAAAAGGCAAATTTAACCAACAGAAGCTATATTATGATGTTAACATTGACGTAAAGTTTAACTCTCATTGTTTAGGCTTTTAATAGACCAATCTCAGTCCCAGACTTTGAAAAATGTATGCCTAGAGATGATAAATACATGTAAGCAACTTTATCTTATATTTCTTCAAATAATCTCTTTTTCATCCACATAGGCTTCAAAAACGACTTAACCCCCCTTCTCGTGATTTCTCCGAAGACCCTATCTCAGCTCCCACCAACAAAATAATCCCTATGAACAAAGTAACCCTCTCCCTCACATCACAGGAGCTAAAACACCCCAAACCCCTCCCTAGAAACCCCCAAACCTCCCAAAGTAACCTTCCCCTAACCCACAGACTCCACCACCTTCAAATGCCGGCTAAACAAGCTCAAAAATTTCCTAGAGTCCAGCTTTCGTTAACTATTTTTACTCAACTTCCACTACCTAAAACGGGGTTTTGGGGTTTTGGGGTTTTGGGGTTTTGGGG